AGGTGACTTTGTGCTAAAACAAATCAACCAGAAGTATTTTACAAGGCTAAACCTATATGGCCTTTAACCATAAATTCTTGCAATCGTGACCTCTTATGTAACAATGGATACATTATGGCATAATATCGTTATTTAGTTATTCTTTAGCGGAAGATTTGATGCATTAACTAACTTATTGCTTACATCATGTAAAGTGTGTACTATTTTGTATTGGTATTTTCAACCTGAACGACACATTATATGCAACATGTGGATAAAATCACTACGTCATAAACTTCATGGTTCGGACATATTGTCCCTAATGTAGAACTTCTGACCAGAAAGAAGGTTAGTCGGTCGCAGCAGCACCCGCTGTTTACACGACAACTCTTATCCGAATAACAGAATTCACTGACGCTTTTATGCCTTGCGTCCACAGTTGACAGTGCGGAGCGCATGTCATATCACAGCCTCGAGTTCAATATCCAGAACTGCATTGCTGAGAACAGTCTAGCAGGCAAGGTATAAACATATCTGATATCATGATATTTAAATGCTTTGAATGTATGCATTCAAATTTCTTATTATGTATAGGCCTTCTTAGCGAAATTTTGCTCGTGTGTTTGTATTTCAGCACAAAGGTATACCACAAGTATCGGGAACTGATTTTAGCGTTATAAACTCACACACTTATCGCTAAGCCACTGGAATGTCGACATTTTGCTCTACATAGACAGAGAAACTAGGGGCAAGAGGTACGTGCCCCTCTCCACACCTACACTTGTTGATGGGGTCAGGTTAATGCTTGTTAATAAGTTTAAGGCAGCCATACATTACATGTTCGCGCTATACTATGTATATTTTATGAACTGCTCCATTTGAAGTCCATAAATGCCACATTTTTTGGGGGCCATACCCCCTGATCCTCATAAAATTATCTTGTTCAAATACATTTTGCATCTTCCACCTTTGGTCTACATATTAGTTAATAGTTGGAGTCTATACAAAACATAATATATCTTCGTGTTTAAATTTCATAACATTGAACATGTAGGTTAAAACACCACGAAGTTACATTCTATCAAAATATTCCATATTATGATTAATCAGAACTGAAGTTATGTCATACGTAACTTTAACAGTTTTCACAAATGCTTTGTTAAAATTAATTTACAATGGCAAACAAATGCTAACATTACGCCTAACAATTAACCTTTTTTTATCACAACCGTTAGGCTCGCTGGTTTCTAATGCTTCGCCAAGTTCCGGTGCTCAAACTGTAACGTTTAAAGCTAACATTCCTGACTTTTCCCGCTTACAAACATCTAACTCAACAGTGACGAAGCTAACTTTTACTATTTATTTTTGTTATCATCAAGAAATATAATTGAAATAGTTTACTAGCATAAATAATATCGATGAATTTTAGCTTTTCCTATATATATATATATGTGTGTCTGTGTGTGTGTTTCAAACTATTTTGACAAAGCTGTTATTAATCTTACAACGTGAGGTTTGCTCATTAAATTTGTTAGAATTTGTTATTTATTAGATTAATAGTAATTTTCGTAAATTCGCAAAAGAAGACAAGTTAAAAAAACTAAAGCTAAAGCTAAGTTTACTGCAAGCTGTATAATACAGAAAAATAGACGGTAACTTATCCCAGCAAAACAACCTTTCTAAAGCTATGTCTAACACTTATTTTAAGGCCTATCTTTCACGGACTGGAATACGTAATTGTTGGTTCTTTCCTTGAAAATATCCCCCATGGGACAGCGATAAGTCTTCGGATCAACGCTGCTAAAATCAGAGGTTCGATTCCCCTCTGTGGACACAGCAGATAGCCGGATGTGGCTTTGTTATAAGAAAAACACAAACACTCCTTGAAAATATTTTGTTTAGTTTTCTTTCCGTTAAATTAACAAAAAAAAATTAAGAATGAGAAATCATTGGTATACATTTAGTGTTTTAAATCTGTGAAAAACAAAATCAAAACTTCTAGTCTGATATATGTTTCTCACTGATGTAAGCCTTTGCTCAAAACGCCTTAAAATAAAGTAAGAAAGATTATATATATTCAGTGAACGATGCCAGCATTCTTTGCACGTGTGAATGTTCCACATTCCTCCTAGCATGCTGAAAAAGAAACAACTCTACGTATTTGCAAACATTCACACTCGTATGTGTTTACTTCTAACTAGTTTTTCACATACGTACATAAAAATGTTGTCTATAAATCACTCATGTTCAGATGTATAAATATATAAGGTCGTGAAGGTCCTATACAGCTCTGTTTCTCAGTATTCTAATCAGGGTTCGGATAACGAGTCTCTCGTATTGATAAAAAACGCGGACGCGCTAACAGACAGATAGGCAGAAGTTACAAAAATAATAAAACAATTTTGAGTGCAGTAATTTACTCAGACTACATGACATGTTTTGGGATAAGCAGCAAGTTAGGAATGTACATGTATCCATAATCAATCTTCATTCTTTATCGAGTCAAAAGCGTTTGTTACTGCTGTTTGATTTTTATTTCACCCACACCATACTGACGAGTGACTGGTGTTTGATGAGTAGCCGTTGAAAGTGTTTCGTGACATCTATCGCACACAGAACTCTTTCATCTGATACACATACAAACGTGAAACTGATCAGGCAGATAGATGGATGGACAAATGTACTAGTAATCAACAAGAGAAAAACAGAAAATCAAAAGAAAAAGTAAAATCAGAAAATAGACATATTAAAAGACATATCAAGTCACTAATATCAAATAACTTCGTTCAGGGTTATTTTGCGACCTTTGTTATTTTTCTTATACAGACAAGCTCGTTTTGACGGATCCATTTTTGCTAATCTGTTCGCTTGGATGGTACGTCTGTCCGTCACCAATTTCACAGTGACTAACACACAACTTCCGTTTGTGAGTCACAGCAGCTGTGTCACTTCCATGGGAACCGCACTCGACGATCTGAAGCAGAAATTCTCGTTCACCACCGAGAATGGCGGTGTGACACAGCAGGGGGTGGTTAACAAGATTTGTCTTATATTGATTCGAGCACGACATTTCTGGCAGTTTCTCCCCGGGTTGCGTTAGCAAGTGACCCCACCACCATCTCATTTGTCGAAAGAAGAAGGATTTGTAATAGTTTTCAAGTAAAGACAGTTTAGATCATTTTACACAAGGCTCCTAAAACTCACAAGAGTAAACACATACAGCATGTCTTCCCCTGATATCTATAATCGTGTTGTTTACTGGGGTGATGTACATTGTTCGAACAGATATGATAAAGAAGTTGTTTTATTTACACCTACATACGATAAGCGGAATGTTCTATAGAATCACGGGATGGGGATGAATTTTATCGTGGTAACTGAGATATATCAGGTAAATAGTAATCAAACATGAAACACTATAGCAAAGAAACCCACTCAGAATTATCAAAACTATTGTTCTTTTACGTCTTCGTTTACTTTTCCGTTTCACTTATTTACAAAGCACGACATAACGGCGTAAGAGTAAGATTGACATTTGCTAGAATGGATGTTCACATGCGCATGCTTGTGCCCCCCCCCCCCAGTGCCACAGTGGTATATCTGCGGATTTACAACGCTAGACTCCGGGTTTCGAAACCCGTGGTGGGCAGAGCACAGATAGCCCATTGTGTAGCTTTGTGTTTAATTACAAGCAAACAAACATGCTTACGTTTGTATTTTCTGCTTCTGTGCAATAACATTTGCGACGAGTAAAATAAATTCGTCATTTGGTGCAAAGTTCTAAAGGAAAATGTAAATGCAACAGTATTTATAAACATAACTTTAAAAAAGAAACTAATTATTCAGCCACGACTTTATAAAAGAATCTTTCACTGCTTCGCGAATTCTACTTCTCTGAATTTGAGTCCGACTTTTCTGATAAGATCAAGATTATTGGTATACGTATAATTTTTTTTAAAAATGGGTGCATAATAAAAGCCCCCCAGTGGCACAGCGATATGTCTGCGGACTTACAACGCTAGAAACCGGGTTTCGATACCCGTTGTGGGCAAAGCACATATAGCCCATGTGTAGCTTTGTGGTTAACTTCAAACAAACAAACAAACAAGCATAATAAAATATAGAAAATATTTACTAAACAGTTTTACTGGCACAATGCCAGGGTTAATTGTAATATACTATACCCATCACAAGCTTTTGTAGTTAGATCAATAAAATATTTAAATATTATATTTTATGTATATGAAGCTGTCATTACCCAAACCATCTTTACTTAGTTAAGGAATCGTTCAAGTAAAGCGCATAACATCATTAATTTTTTTAGATTTTTTTTAGCATTATATAACGTGACTTATATTCGAAATGATTATTTGGTACATAAGACTAGTTATTGATGCGCCATTTATAGAGTCAAAACCTGGATTTTGTTGATTGTAAGAAAAACACATTGAAAAATAAACAATAACTGATGTTATATAAATACCTTATGATTAAGTGTTTTCCTTAATAACTTTCAAAGATGTGCTCGGTAAGATAACAGTGGATTACTACAACAGAAATACACCAAAATGAAAGCGTTCATAGCTGTTGTCATCTTTAGAGTTCGGGTAACAGGGATGTTATTGCGCACTCTTCTTGAGTTAAAATGATAAAGAAGCTAACGACAAATAGCTTGTAATGCACATGTTAGACCTGTTCAGTAATGTCCTTAGTCCTATGTTCTTCACATTAACAAAACCTAATATTCTTGTCTCGGTTTCGTGATGATTCGACCCTCGCGATGGAGCGTTTCCGTATAAAAATAATATATGATATTGTGGTGACAGCAAACATCAGCTTTAATACAACTAGTCCAGGTGGAAAAGTAACGTTAGAGGAATAAACAAGTCTGGTACAAAGATCAGTAGCCTTTGGAAGCGGACCTACATTTATCTCTCAGATTAAAAATGGGTGCTAAGATACCCTTTCTGAATAACAGCTTCTGAGCTAATTAAGACAATTGACGATTATCAAGGCGTGCAAGGGGTCAATTTAACGGTTCTGTTTATCAGTCTTACCGATAATTCCATTTAAAAACTTATTATCAAAGAGTGTTCACTAACGGCCTTAGAGACAAACTGGACCAAAAATCTTAAAGACGTGATTTAAGTCTACCTGTTCTTAACTCTGTAGTCTCCAAGCAAGGAGTCAATGTCTTAGATGTACGTTCTCTATTATAAGTGAGTTCGTTGCAGAAGTATTTTGCTTTAGAAGAATGAAGTACGTAACCAGGTAATATCATAGTTTATATTTCTAAATATGATCATTTACACTTTGGTTTGGATTGAATTTCGCGCAAAGCTACGCGAGAACTATTTGCGCTAGCTGTCCATATTTTAGCAGTGATAGATCAGAGGGAATGCAGCTGATTAACAACACCCACCGCCAACTCTTTTACCAACGAATAGTGGGATTGAATGTTACAATATAATGCCCCCACAACTGAAAGAACGAGCGCCCTAACCACCAGGTTTTAGCGTTGTAAATCCGTAAACTTACCGTCATTGCAGACAGTAGATAGTAGAACGCATTCTTTTGTTGGTACGTTTAGACACATCTTGTAGTGTATATGATTGCAACATGGAATTCAACACCTAATGTGTTTAACTACAAATGATACCACTAAGTATACTGCAAGTAATAATTCCCTGTATCGTTTATTTAGTAGTATTGTGCTAACAACCACTGTAACAGTATCAACATATACATTATTCCTTTGAGTAAAGCTTTAAACAGTGCAAATATATCAATCAGGCTTATATGGAGTTACTCGAGAGACCGTTTTGGGACGACGTTTCGCTCACTTTGCCGAGGCCTTCTTTAGGTCCAAAAACCGTTCACACGTAATTTCTATCCATAAAAACCTGGTTGGGACGTTATTTCAATTAAAACCGGGTTGCTTACAACAAAAATGGAAAAAAAATATGTATTCGTATTAAGCTGAGGCGAATAGAAGTTGTTTGTTTTTTTCACAATTCGTATTAATAAAATCAAGAAAACTGATAAACATAAAATACGGATTTGTAACAAGTATTTTTTTAAAAGCTACATCTGTTTTGCAATAAAGATATAAGAGTTGCAAACACTAAAATGAAATGTTTGTGACGTCAAGATAATATTGAAAAACAAACCTTATTTAACCGAAATTTCTTAAAGAAAAAACTGAGTTCAAAATCAGGCATATTATTAACAAATGGATGAGAAGAATCTCGAAAACGTGTTTTATATTTTAAAGACATTAATGCAATTTACACAGGTATAGATTGGGGTACAATTTGTGTATTTCAAGCTATTTATCAAAGTGAAAGTATAAACATGTTTAAAAGTATTTTACATTTAACCTGAGATTAAGACAAGACTCAAACAAATCCGACGGCTCCTTGGATTTCTGTATGTTGAAAACTGGCAATTTGCGTTTGAACGTTTTAAAAATATTTGGGGCCCGGCATGGCCAGGTGGTTAGAGAACTCGACTTGCAGTCTACGGGTCGCGGGTTCGAATCCCCGCCCCACCAAACATGCTTGCCCTTCCAGCTATCGGGGCGTTATAATGTTATGATCAATCCCACTATTCGTTAATAAAAAGAGTAGCCCAAGAGTTGGCGGTGGGTGGTGATGACTAGTTGTCTTTCCTCTAGTTTTACACTGCTAAATTAGGGACGGCTAGCGCAGATAGCCCTCGTGTAGCTTTGCACGAAATTAAAAAATAAACAAACAAACAAAAATATTTGGGGTATATAAATATTCTTAAGGAATTTGTATTTGAATGTAGGAAACTGACTATACTATATTATAAAAAAATAGAAGAAGAAGAAGCAAATGAGCATTATCACGTATTAAGCTTAATTCTTCGTACACTGTGATGTGTTTCATTCGTGCTCTGGATTTTGGAGCTGGCGACACGAGTTCGAATCCGTGCGATAATACAATATATTCTTCGCACTTTAATTTAAGCTGTGGGTTTGTTATGAAAGTGACAATCAATCTTCTAGCGTAGATGGTAGGTACTATTGACTGGCTGCCTTCCCTGTGGTCAGTAATTCAAAATTAAGGACGACGGCAGATAGCCTGAGTAGCTTTGTCATAAATACAAAACACAAATTCATTCATGCATTTGCACTCCTTGAGAAACGTGTTCATTTTATATGAAATACCGTAGAAAGTAGGGAAAGAATGGTACCCGGCCCCTGCCGAGTGTCAAAGTTAGCCATCTAAGCCCTAATCTTTGTGGAAACTAACGCGGTACTGAAAGTTATTATAGTCCATAATTGGTTTAGTTATAAAAAACGTTTTTCGGGCAACAAAAACTGACCGCCCGCTGAAAGTCGGGGATTCAGAGAACAATAGGGGTTAAGAACAGGCATGGCTTGAGAAGTGGATTTCTGGAGAAGGTGGGGGTTTTGAGAACAATAGGGATTAGGGTTTGAGAAGTTGGGGCTAGGCATTGAAAGTTGAAAGTAAAACCTGAATGTTCTGTTGGTGATTATTCGGTTAAATGTAATAAACTTCAATTTTGTTTTTGTTTCTAATTTTTGTGTATGTTGTTTGTGTGTGTGAAGCTTAGTGACCCGGACCCGGTATTCGGCCAAATTTTACTACCCGTGCATCCCTAGTAGAAAGATTGGTGGTAGATCGTGCGCATCAAATGACGGTTTATTTGTTTACTGACATTATTATAACCACAAAGTGGAAAACATGACGCATAAAAGCTAAAACAATGCATAGCTTACTAAAGCATTCCACATACACACACAGTCTTCCAATTGCAGCACGTGATCAAACATCGACCACCGTAGAAATCGTTCATCTATGAGTCGAAACTTTGATAACTGTTTTCTACGCAATTTACATCGATAATTCATTTACGTGTGTTCCATTTTTCAATTTAAGTTTTAATACTCGAATCTAAACCAGTAAGTTTGGAAACTTCCATGTTGAAAACGTTAGTGGTAATCTTCTATCTCGTAATATTTTATGTAAAAATATATTCGCAACTGAGGTTTTTTTTTTCTCTCAAAAACTGCATTTTAGTTGTTTCTTATTTTATTTGGTATTGCACGGAAAAGAGGAATTAACTGTTAAGTTACTTAGAAGTTTAGAAACTGGTTTCGTGCCTTTATACACCGCAAAATTTCTTGTTGAAATATAGTTTTCTGAAGTTTACTAATGCAAACAAATAATCACTGTGTGTGTCTTCCTGGTGAACATAAGTAATTTAAGGATATTGACAAAAAACACACACGTTTTCTGGGAAATAAACTGTTTTATTTCCAGTCCCTAAATTTGTAATATTTACTATTAAACCTTTTACAGATTCCGTATTATATACATACGGGGACTTAGTGAAATTTTCACATTTGAGCTACTAGTTTCAACGTACACGTTAAAAGCCAAACTAAACATATACAAATATAACTAGAAACTGAAATAAAATTTAATGTCTAAAGAGTGCTAGGAAGTATTCTCCAACTTTTTATACAAAGTACATACATTTTTAAAACAAATAAACATAAAGTTGCCATGTTGTGCCACATTCAATGCAAAAATATGGCTTCGGAACTTTCTAGAAAAAAATAAGGCACACGTCAAAATAAACATTGTTCAACCGCTACTAAGAGGGTTTATTTATGTTTATGAAGAAATTTAAATAGAATATGTATATATATATATATATATATTTTACGGAGATCTTTAAGAAATAACAAGAATTTAGTAAGATCACTCAATAACTGAAAATAATAATTTGTTAATTATTTGTTGACACATTCTTTCCTTAACGATAACAAGCTTTTTATTGACAAAATATATAGAAACTGAGAACCATAATATCCATAATTAGCACTGAATATTTCATGAAGCCAGGAAGACCCTGAATAACTAACTACACGTTAATAAAGACACAAGCTGTGTTTGTAGCTCAGTCTAATTCAGACCCCGCCAACCAAATGAGCTCTAACGCTAGTTATTACAGGACCACTGATTAAAACTTACGTGTGCAAAGCTGAACAACTAATCAACCTTTCACTCTACAGATTATAGTGAAGTCAATTCTTTGTTAAACATGCTCCATAAATTTTGCAACCGCATTTTAAAGCCGAAAGGAAAACACGCACTTATAGTTTCAAATAACAGACAATGTTTGACCACTGGATATAACAATCTGGATCAACAGAGTATTCTTGACTTCAACCGCTGATAATTCCTAAAGTTTCATATCTTGCTTCTCGAAAACTACTACAGCTCATACCGTACAACAAGCTTTGTGAGACAGAAGATTAAATGTTTGTTATGGATTTCGCGCAAAGCTACACGTTGATAAAAGAGTAGCCCAAGGGTTGGCGGTGGGTGGTGTTGACTAGCTGTCTTCCTCTAGTTTTACACTGCTAAATTAGGGACGGCTAGCGCAGATAGCCCCCGTCACATTATAACGCCCCTGAAAGGGCGAGCATGTTTGGTGTGAGGAGGATACGAACCCGCGACCCGCAGATTGCGAGTCGAGCGCCCTAATCGCCTGGCCATGCCGGGCCAAAAAGAGTAAATAAAGACATGCGTAGTATCTGTGGAGAAAAATAATTTTATATTAAACATGAATTTAAAATACGCGTAATAACAAACACACAAAAAGCGATTTTTTTATTTTTCACAAATCAAAAGGAGAAAGAAATTTATTTCAGTTTTATAGTTGGAATATTTTTGCTTCTGTCAAACATTTTTACTGCATTCTTAAATAAAAATGTCCTTTCGTTTTAGAAATTATAAAATTTAACCAATTAATGCAAGAAAAAGGTTGACAAAACTTACCCACTAAAATAATTTTGATATGAAATCTTAAAACAGCTAATAAACTGCTCGTTATTAAGTTACATTTGGTCTCAAAATGCAGTCACATCAATATTTTTTTACATAAGTTAATTCAGGGGTACCATAAGAAAATACATCAATAATAACCATTACCCTGAAAAAATATTATATAAATGCACAAAACGAGTTTTCTGGTGCACAAAAATAGTCTAAACTAGAAATACTCAATCATAGAATAAAGTGAAAGTAACCTTAAAATATTCTTATATTACTTCTACGACAGTAACATATATGTCTTAAAGAAAATTTCTGTAGAGCAACATATTAGAAGGTGAAGTATTTCAAAGGCACTCTCACAAACATAATATGAATCGTCACTTACAGACATGTTTTCTTATATATAAACAAGAAACGGCATGTAAACAAAAATTATATAAATTACAAAATGAAATAAAAATTACGTTCGAAACTACTTTTTAATAGCTGCAACTCCCTCGATAATAGAATCATAAAGCAGAATCCAAAATTAACATAAAATATATTTGTTCTTAAGTGTATATTGTAGAATAATTACATTTGCCAAGAGTAAAAGCAGCACGCTACTGGAAAATAACATATTTTGTGTTTTTAAGAATATAATCTGGGAATTTGAAATATCTTACTTTATACATTCAACTGTCTCACATTTTATTCTGTTGCAATGAAAGTCCCATCTATAAAAGAAACACTTGTCTTTATTTTCGTTAAACAAAAAATTCGATACCGTATGTTTAATGATTAATTCGAAATAAATAAGATTTGTTCAAAGTTTAATTCTAATTAATCTTAGTACTTTAACACACTGTTAACATAATTGAAAACATAAAAAAATAAAATCTACCATTACCATCTTTCATAACAAGATATATTTTTATAAAGAAGTTTTATTGATGGAAATTTAGGGCATTTAGCTTAAGTTGCTATTTAAATTTCATTCTAAACGTATTAAAGATGTCACATATTTCACACCTTTAGACTGTATAGAAATGAGTATTCCTAAAGATAAAATAAACAACATTAATCATAAAACTTACATAAATTTCTTTGTTATATTGATCGTAAAATACACATAAGTTTCTTCATATGTAGATATTTTACATGTGTTAATTCATGTCAGTCATAGACGTTACATCACATCTACAAGTACTTTTCCATACTTATAGGTATACTGCAAGAAATTACTTCAACACAACAATTTCGTTTTTGAATTTAAAAAAAAATGTTGGATTAACCCTCACAATTCGTAATGTTGTACAATTATACACGTGCATATATTATTTGTAAAAATCAACAATATACATCCTATGATTTACATGTAGCACTGTTCACCCTAAAGTGTAAGTCACACGTAAGCTTCCTGACTGACCATTCGATGACAAATCTTCTGATAAAAGTTCCGCCAGGAGTTGCACGTCTTCCCTGACCATATCCAGAACCCTGATGTGATACCCACAACTAATGTCATTAAGTATTTTATCATAAAAACGGCAAAATCTGGCTTAGGCCAGTAACCTTCTGTCCTCAGCAAGTCTTTCGGGGGACAAGGGATACTGTACATGCGTTTTTGGCAATTCTCCCTTTGCCACGACAGCATCCATGATTCGAAATACGTCTGCTCGTAAAAATAGCAGGCTAGAACTATGATAGCTGGTACGGTGTACAGTACCGAGAAGATTCCTATACGTATCATCAGTTTTTCAAGCTTATCCGTCTTCGTCCCGTCGTGCTTCATGACAGTACGGATGCGACAGAGGGATACAAATCCTGCCAACAGGAACAATGTTCCTAATCCTAAATAGAAAACCAGTGGTGCCAAGACAAATCCCCTTAGTGCCTCGACATCCCAAATTCCCACGTAACAAACACCACTTAAAACGTCTCCTTCTACTTTAGCCATAGCAAGAACAGTAATGGTCTTTATGGCTGGAACTGTCCACGCTATTGCATGGAAATAATGCGAATGTTTTTCAATAGCTTCATGACCCCACTTCAGACCCGCTGATAGAAACCATGTTAGAGTCAAAGTTACCCACCAAATGGAGCTGGCCATACTAAAGAAGTAGAGCATCATGAAAAGGATTGTACAACTTTCTTTTTTATTACCCTGAGCGATCGTATTAATCATCTTAGCTCCAGCCTCGATCTCTGGTGGATCGAACGGTTTATTACATGATACATCATCACCGAGCAGAAATCCAACAACGTACGTCAATGCTATCATGAAATAACAAAAGGATAAACATATAATTGGCCTCTCAGGATAACGGAATCTCTTCATGTCCACTATAAATGTAAGTACTGTAAAAAGTGTAGAAAACAAGCACAGAAAGGCCCATGTACCTATCCAAACTCGAGAAAAATTTCGTTCCTCATCTCTAAAAAACATGCCATAACAAGGCAATCCACAGTTCTTCTCTTCCTTTCTACCAATGCGAACTACATAATCGAGTCCTTTAGGAACTCGAAATTCTGTTGGACATATAAATTCCTTACCAGCGGTCGGTTTCCTCCCGGAAGTGCCATGAGGAAAAGGCGAAGAAGTAGCAGCGCGGCTGGACTTTTCTGTGTCGTTCTGACCTACACAAAGTTCGGATCCTCCAGCTTCTGGGAACTTTTCACATTCCAAAGTCTCTGGCCAACGAAATCCAAACTTATTCATCAGACTTTCACAACCATTCCTTGCTGATTGACACAATGAGCGACACGGGGGAAGAGGGTGAGGCAAGATGGTACAAACAGGAGTGTACATAGAACACAAGAAGAACTGTAAATCTGGACTACACTTTACCTTCACTAAAGGGAAAAACTGGTGAACTTCAAGACCAGCGTCTTCTTGTTTCTGATGATTAAGCAGGTTTGGCATCATGGTCTGGTTATACTCGATATCTTTACATAGTGGTACTGTAATGGGTTCACACAGGTTATGCTGTGGTATTAGGTTCAAGTCGTGTTCGGACACTCGTGTATTTAGCACTTGGGCCTGGACTTGTTGCCATCCTCGTTGATGCGATGTGCTGAAGTATAACGCTAGTAACGTCACCACTAGTGCACGAGCCATGACGAGAAATATCTTGGTATTAATTAACACCTAAAGCTGTAATCAGCCTATTCTTGATTCATATTACAGTGAAGTGTACGATACTAAACTATGGCATATAGATCCAGATGAATGCACTTTTTAAACACAGCTAAAGTTTATACGTCTTGTGTTCCCACGAAGTGATCTCAACTCAGTGACAACTAGCACTCTATATGTGTATACAAAGAACTCTTGCCCACGCTCAGTTTGCTTCGCGTGGCAGAATGGCGCGCACGGCATGAAATATTATCACAACACGCCAGTGCAAGCAGACTTAACCACACATCAATTCGCTAAGCTAACCGTCTTAAGTGATTGGCCCTCGCCTTCTAATCCCCTGCAGTTCTGTGTCAAACGTCACTTAAAACGCGTTGGCACCACTTTTAGAAACAGTCGAAAACTCTCTCCCATAAAACAAAAATACTTCGTGCAAAAATGTTAGAATATGTATTCTCATACAAAATCAGAGACAAATTTGCTACTCATATTAAGTTTGTTTATAATTTTTATTTTGTTTATTGAAAGTCGATATAAAATATACTTACGGACATCCAAATAGTGCAAATAATGTAAAAAAAAGTTATCAAACATATGATATATGTTTGATATGATACTGACATGACTTTATTTTACAGAATATTTTAGAGATCTCGCGATATTTGAATTTTGCGAGACTAGTTACAATTTTAGGCTTCATTATTCCAGCTGATCCAGAGAATCTTATTATTGCACAAATAATAAAAACAAGTTTTCACGTATGATACAGAATGTGCATTGTTGCAGCTCAACAGAGAACTATATTTTGAGAATGACATTTATTCGATTGTTTTGCAGTTATCGTTGGATTGCACCATATATTTACTACTGAAATAATTAACAAGATTAAACGTCCCCAGTAGCACAGCGGTATTGTCTGTGGACTTACAACGTTAGAAACCCGGTTTCGATACTTTCGGTGGGCAAAGTACAGATAGCCCTTTGTGTATCTTTGTGCTTCACTACAAACAAACAGACAAGATTAAATATTGTTTAAAAATAATCATAAACAGTTTAATTTATCATCTTTCTTATATTTAGAATGCGATTTGAATGAGATAACTTTTACCTAAAAGCTAATATTATCAATATATTAGCAGAAACTCTCGTACAAATACTTTCTGAGAAACTTTAGAGAGAATAATTCTGTGTGCCGGGTTTGAATTTCGCACAAAGCCACACGAGTGCTATCTGCGCTAGCCGTCCCTAATTTAGCAGTGAAAGACTGGAGGGAGGGCAGCTATTCATTACCACCCACCGCCAACTCTTGGCCTACTCTTTTACCAACGAATAGTGCGATTGACTGTCACATAATAACGCACCCATGGCTGAAGGAGTGAGCATGTTTAGTGCGACAGAGATTCGAACCCGCGATCTGCAGATTGCGAGTCACAAAAAAGTTCAATCCATACAACAGGCACAGCACACACACAGTCCGTTGTTAGACTTTGTGCTTTGACAACAAACAATTTTATACCAATGTGAAACCTCGTTTATACATACAGTTCAAACGATAAACAAAGGGAAAAGGGGCGTTTTATTTTTTTCAAAACCGCCAATTAAATATAACTAGGTCTAATGAAGTAAAGAAAATTTTATATTTTATGCACTAAGAATTTTGTAGAAATATAATATACAAGAGTTATCAGTCAAGTCGCTCTTTTTCTTATTGGTATTACTGACTAACATCCTTATTGATTGTTATTTTTTCGATAATCAGTAGAATTTTGGAACATTTTCAAACTGTACATTTTCCTTAAAACTATTTTCAAGAAGAGACATAAAATCGTTATCTGTTAATTCGAATTTATTGCGAGGATTGTTTGTTTTTAAGCACAAAGGTAACAATAGGCTTTCTGTGCTGTGCCTTCCACGGGTATCGAAACCAGGTTCTTAGTGTATTAACCCTTATCGCTGAACCATTGGGGAGCATTATTGCTAAGCAAACGAGATCGTAACAAATAATTATTCATAACTTTAATACGAATTTCTGAAAGATGTAGAATGCTCCCCAAAACACGATGCATATTTTTGGGGAGTTAAAAAGGATAACCTCAGAATTTCAAACAGGAGAAGAAAATCAATGAAAAATATAAGTAATAAATATTATTATTGTAATAAATCCTCTTTTTTGTTGTTGAAATTATTTCATTGTTAGTAAGTTAGGGCGAAGGACTTTCTGTGAAAATTATGAGAGCAAGCTGGTATTCAAAAGGTTAAAATATAGTGTTATTGAATAATAGAAAAATGCATATTATTCAGTTTACATTGACAGGATTTCTTTGTTTGTTTCAGAATTTTCTCCATGCGGAATCTCATATAATGTCACATTTACTGAAGATAAAACAACAGTTTTACAAAATATTTTATACTGTTAGAAAAGTTTATAAGAAGAGCTAACGAAAAGAAGTTTTGTTCTTCGAAGCAGAATAACTTATAGAAATATTAATGCGCTTTAACCTTACGCCACAGATAAAACGGAATAATATTGTTACGTCT